CACACACACACACACACACACGAACACACACACGCTCCCCACCCCCAGAGAAATCAATGATCTAAGTCAATCTGCTACATCCTCTCCAAAGTCACACATACACAGCTTCTATTTGAAGTTCATAGTTCTGTTGAACATTTGCAAAAAGCCAAGTTGCTTAATCCCCTGTAAATTATCTACACAGAGGAAAACAAAGAATCCAAAATCAGAGGTAAGCAAAGAACAGAATTGGGTGGAAATAAACATGTCACTCAAGGCAGTTTTTTATTGTTCTCTTTATTATTCATCTTCAGCCATGAAAGTTCATATCCTGACTCTGTTGAGCCTTAAGTGGTCCAGCTTGCTCAATCATTTTGTGTTTCTACAATATCTTCAAATTTTCTTGGAAAAGTGTCTAAGGATATTTATTTATATCAGAGGTTCTCAATCTGTAGGTCATGAGTCTTTTGGCAAACTTCTGTCTCCTATAATATTTACATTATGATGCATGTGGTCAGTAGCTGCCCTCTCTCCTTTGAGATTTTAAGGTTCCAGCTATCCCTTGACTACACCATTTCCACTCAATTTTATTCCAGAGTATAAGGAATATATAGTATTTGAAAGTCTGGGGACAAACTCTAATTTGCATTAAAGGGTGTGCTCCTATCACAAGGCTTCGTATCTGGCAGTAGGGTCATATAGTAGAGCAGAGCCCCTAGCACACGTCTTCTCGACTGTGCCAAAGGTCAAACTAAACATGAATCAGGCATCTGGTTTAGAGACAGCTTGCAGATAAGGCCAGTCCTCCAGGCCCAGGGACATTCTCCAGATAAGGGCAGGTAAAGAGCAGGAAGCTTTGTTGAAGGGAGAGAGCTCCATGTTGCCCAGCTATTGAGTTAAACTGTTAGGCCATATGGAGGCTGCTGCCTCTGGCCAGTCAGCAATGCCTTCCAACAACAAATAGCATATATTTCTCCTATTTATATTCTACTGGCTATAAGGAATTCCTTTGTCATTATTAATGGAGAATTGTTTGGGATTAGAAAAAAGTTAGTAAGAAGTCTTGGTGAGGAGCTGGCAATGTCTGACATAGGAGATAAGGTGTTAGGACAGTCAAGACTGTAAAAAGACTAGGCACGACATCTTCCCTGGTGTTTGGGAACATTTTCTATGAAGCTATATAACTGTGTTGTATATAAGAAATGCTACAGAGAGGTGAATTGGAAAGATAGAGTTAAAAAAGTTTATAGATGTATATATCTAGTACTTGAGAGAGGAGACATAAAAAATCAAGAAAAAGGAAATAGCTTAAAGAAGTTCGTGATGGACTGTTTGCTTTATAGACATAAAAGAAAAAGTTTTCCAGCAATATCTTAGGTCCTACTGTTTTGCACCTTATATACACCAAAATTGCATACCCCATACCAGAGGTAAAAATGACAAAACAAAACAAAGTAAAACAAAAACTCCAAAAAATTTAAGACCACTGAAGAAAATGAAGGAGCATGTACACATAATTTTCAAAGCATGGAAATGCTTTCTTTTTTCTAAATAAAATTCTATCTATGTATATGTGTGTAACTGCTTCTTTGTATGTGCACCATGTGCATGCAGATGCCTACAGGGACCAGAAGAGGGAGCTATATCCCTTGTAATTGAAGTTTCAGATGATCATGAGCTGCCCTTCGTGAATACTGGGGGTTGAATCTGGGTCCTCGGTAAGAACAGCAAGTGTTCTTAAACTACTGAGCTATGCCTTCAGCCCCAGAAGTACTTTCTAAATAAGAAATCCACACAAACTATGTGGTTGGGGGAAGTTGTTAAAGTTGACTAAAACTAGAACAAAATTTGGATATGCTAAAGAGCTTAACAATTCTAGGCTAACAAAATCCATGAATTAATAGCTGAGTCCCTGGAATCAAAAAGAACTCCTATAGACAAATATGCCAAAAAAAAAAAAAAAAATCAATGAACATGCCATGCTTTTACAAAAGAAATCTAAAGATCATTCAATGTATGAATAAGATTGTTATCTCTATAGAATATAATACATCATGAATCTAAATAACAGGATGTTGGTGTCAGTGAGCGGGATGACCCCATGCCCCAAGTTTCCCAGAGAAAGAGGGAAACCTGCCGCCACAGCCTGTCCTGTCGGGCCACTGAGAGGCATCGGAGCAGCTTCCATAGGCTCGCGCTGTCCCCGCGCTCTTGGGGTTTCTCTCGGCACTCCCAAGATGATAAAGACAGATCCAGATAAAGAAAAACCTCTAAAGGTTTACACTGCATTTAAAATTTTATGTAGGCTTGTGAGAGAAAAAGTAACAGGAGGAAATAGAGTAGCTGG